AAGGAATAATAAATATACTAAAATATTATAATCTATAATTAAAATTAATCTTAGAAGATCTATTTAAACCAATAATTCAATTAAAAACACTACGAAAATCAGTTAAAATAAAAACTTATTGACCATTAATACATCAAGACCAAAGAAGGATAAATGGAACACAATTTGAAAATTAAACATATTTCATTAATTAAAAAAAATTAGAACAAAATGAGACAGAAAGTAACCAACTAATAAGTAAACTATAAAAGTTACAACATTCAGTTTCAAATATAGAAAAGAAAATATGAATATAGAAAAAGAATTAGAAATAGTAAATTTAACTAATATGGAACATCTAGAATATAATATTATAGAATTACAAGGAGATTTAAATGAAAAATTACACAACATCAATATGATGTAAGTGAACTAAATATAACATCCTCAGATTATTTATATCGTAATAAAATTCATAGAGTATATTACTTCAGGGAGTAATTCAATTATTAGAACACATAATGATAATTTAAAAGAAGATTCCAACTAAACAATAAAAAAGTGATGTTTTTCATAAGTCCAAAGGATTTTTTACAATAATAAGAAGTAGAAGGACCATTTCTGAAATTTAGAAAATGGAATCTTCCAAAAATATTCTGTCAACTTTAACGGAATGCACTTAGCAGTAAACTTAAGTGGTACCGGGTGCACATATGATAGAATTCACTGGTACCCGACACCCTATTCAAACTTAAGTGGTATAACTCCTCCAATTCTCATATTTTAGTGGTACTCGAGGTATTTTATCCTTTCGTCAAAGTAATTAAAGACATGAAGATGTGGAAGTGATGAGGCAATTCACGTGGGAGCCAATAATAGGACGAGTATCCCATCAAAAACTCCAAAATTGTTGGCGCCTGCCCGCTAGCTTTCGTACAACATGCATGTAGCAGCCGACAATGTTGACTTCACAATCTCGCCAATATCGCTACTTCTTTTCCCCGCTATTGCCAGTAGCAGGAAACCCTAGCTGGCACGTTTTCCTCAGTCCTTGGATTTTGAATTGATTGGACCAGGTTTCCCCATGGCCCTCACTCTCTTTGATAAGATGTGTAGATAATTGCTCGGGTAATTTACTAAGGGGTCGTTTGGATGCAGTAATTTAACATGGGAATTGGGCTCAATTCCCACAATATGCAGTAATTGAATCAAATTTCCACGTTTGGCTGTGAAAAAAAAGTATGGAAATTGGTCGTCGTAATTGGGCTACATTACCACAGATGTGGTAATGGTAAATCCGGCACCCACCCCCCTGCATTTCCAATTCCTGTGTTTATGAGTATTTTCTTTCCAATTATACCCCTCCTCTTTTACTATAAACCCCATTTTAACCTTGCCTTTTTCTAAGGTTCTGCAAACACAACTACCCAAGAACACTATACATACATAATCTAATCTTCAATTGGAAACGTTGAAGAAGGAATCTTTGCACACATATCTGGCCTCTCTTTTGCTATGTACGCATCACTACTTCTTAATCTAAAACCTCCTCTCTCAGTCGTGGTTTGGGAAGCCGCCGAGCTGAGCTGCTCTGTTATGAGCTGCAGGTGCTTTGATTTCATGGATTTCGCTGTCGTAATCAATCGTCCGGGAACGGAATGGTCGGACCTTCGTCGGCGAGCTGTAGACGAAGTGTGATTCCTTCGCAATCAAAGTCTGTTGAGGAGAGGAAAAAAACAATCAAGTCTCACATACCTTTTCCCCTTTCTCGCAACTGCTGCTGCTGGGTTTAGAATATCCACTCCGCAGCTGCTGGGTTTCTCTACGATTCTGAAATGGGGGAAAAGACTGGCAAAACGCAGGGATGATACCCGGAGTTAATCGATGATTAAATCGAAACCCACATGTACAATTGTTTCTTTGCCCCATTCTTAATCCCGACGCCGTCAGACACCGTCAATTTATTTATCGCCTGTTCTTAATCCCGACGGGAGCAATTGATTCTTCAGTCCCTTCATCTTCCTTGTTCTTCGACAGGGATTAAAAAAAATCAGAAATCAACAATTGATTCTTCACCTCCTTAATCCCGTCACCAACAATAATTCTTTCACCTTCTTCTTCCTTGCATGTACCACTAAATGGCCTCTATGGCCTTATCTGAACTAGGTGGAGGATGACTGGATTAGAGAACGTGGCTTCTTGCCAGCTGCTACTAAGAAGGAGGGGAATAGGACTCTATGGGAAAGGAAACGACATCGCATAAAGAAGGATATTTTTGTATTTCTCCACAATTCCACAACAACAATTTCCACACTTAACAGTTTCATCCAAACATGGAATTTTCTCCAATTTCTACATGAGAATTTCTAGGTTTTCTATGATGTGGAAATTGGTCTCAATTTCCATGTTCTCAAATTTCCACATCCAAACGACCCCTAATTATAATTACTAACTAGGGTATAATAGGCCGCGCTCCGCAGCGGCTTGGGATGAGTGTTGGTTATATTGATTGGAAGCTCTTCTACCGCAAATTGAGATTCTTGATCACACGACAATAATTCTTTTTGGACTCTTTGAAGCCTCTCGCTCTATATTATGTGCCTTTTCAACAATCTAATGTTTGGCCAGACTTTTTGAAGGTGTTTTTCAGTTTCAAAAATTGAAGTATGGCCAAACACCTTTAAAAGCTCGATTTTTGAAAAGGCGAAAAGCGTTTTTGTATAACATAAAAGCAGAAGCTTCAATTTGGAGCTTCTGCGAAAAGTTGTTTTGAAAATACAAAATTATCGTTACCATATTTTAATTTTATTTCCAAAAATATAATTTTATTACATTCATATCATTTTAAAAATAAAATAAATTATAAAATTATATTATTTAATATAAAAAAGTCTAACAAAATCCATTTTGACTACAATTTATTGTTTATAATTATTATTCATAATTTATATTATATGTCCTTTATAATCATTTCACACAACCTCTCATATTAAAAAGCACTTCTAATAGTTTTTGCAGCCAAACACTCAACTATTTTTTTTTTAAAATACTTTTCTAAAAGTTCAAGCCAGAAACTGTTTCTGCAAAAACTACAGCAAGACCAAACTGTTTCAGTTGCTCCAAGTCAAATTCTTCGTCCAGAGAAAGTAAATGACCAAGAACAAAAAGGGTAGAATTATACAAAGCGATCATTGATGATGCATTAGCTTTAATAATCAGTACATAAAAAAACCTCACATTTCCTGACTCAAAATCTTACCTGCATAAGTTTTTTTTTTTTTTTTTACAACACAAAGGATCTATCATCTTTCGCCTTCTGAGAAACAATAAGATCCATCAATGTCAAAACCCAAGCCCACATTCATTGCCAAACTCTGGCTTTAGCAAGCGAATATGATGTTTCTATTGGCGTACTCCTCTCTGCATATCTGGGTTCCAAACCCACAAACACTTCTCCTTTAATTTCATAAATTGTTCAATGAAAGAGATGGCACCTTGTCTATAACAAATACCACAATTAAACATATGTTATGTAAGAGATCAGGGAAGAGATATATCCAAATAAATGACAGGTGCACCTTACGCCATGAACTTTCAAACATACTGATTAATCTTGTGAGCATATTGACTAATTTGGTGTACATATTGACAAAATACCTTACAATACTCAATGAAATTGGTTAAGAGTCAGGGAGTGATTGAATCTTGTGACTAGGGATGGCAATTTTGCCCATACCCATGGGTATTTTACTATCCAACCCAATTGGGTTGGGTATGAAATCCAAATATATGGATATGGGTAAAGTTTGATGAGTTTGTACCCATACCCATTTATTTTGGGTTGGGTTGGGTTTATAACAAATGGATTTGGGTTTGTACCCATGCCCAAATACAAATTACAGTTTGGTACCCAAACTTAATAGATATGCATATTTAGTACCTAAATTTAATTTTTTTTGCATATAAGTCCTCAAAATATCGATGGAAAATTACGTTTTGGTACCTAAATTTTTTTGGTCTTACATTTTGGTACCTAAATTTTTCAAGTTTTACAAATAAGTCCAATTTTTGCATGTGTAGTTAAAACACCCTCAAGTAAATGGATATCCATATCCAACCCATACCCATTTAGATAATATCCATATCTAACCCAAACCCATATACAAACCCCAAACCCATACACACATCACCCAAACCCTACCCATAATAAATGGGTCTACTTGGGTTTGGGCAAAATTACCCATGGGTGGGTAAATTGCCATCCCTACTTGTGACTTGAGGAAGATTTCCTCTTTCTACAAAGACTCCTCCAGCACTGAGAAACCAAAATCAAAGCCCCCCAAATTCCCTCTACAATAATGAAATCAAATTGCCAGAGTAGAAAATGGGGGATGATTTGAGTGTGCGTTAGACTTTTGGGCATCTATCTATCTATCGGCTCTCCTTTTAATCTTATGAGCTCATTAAAAGTGAAATCAAGACCTAAAGGTTGATAGTAAAATACATCATCGTTCACATATACTAGATCCAGGTGGTGGCCACCCCGGGCCCCGGCCAGCCCTCCTCTGGATCCGTAGTTAGTATAGTCTTTATGAATTTTTCGATTTTAGACATTCGGCTTTGTGTGATTTTATAATAAAATTGGGTATAACTAAAAAAATGATTCAGATGACCATATTCAAATCAGTACTCTAAATTTAGCCTTTAAATTTTAGCCCCAAAGATTATGCGTATAAAAAAAACAATGAAACCTAAAATTCTAAAAGTTTAAAACGTAAAAGACTAAAAGAAATATGAGGTTTGTTCCCTTGAAAACTTACTAGAGCAGTTGGTGGATGCAGGGATTGACACACAATGCCAATTGATTAGTCGATTGATTTGTTTAGTGTTGATGCTGCTCGTTTCAACAGCTACTATGGAGAGAACCTTTTCAACAATGAAACATGTGAGAACTGATTTGCTCAACAAAATGAGCGATGAATTTCTCGCCGATTGCTCAAGTATTTTATTTGAAACAATGTATACTATTGGTATGGATGTAGGCTCCATTATTGATGCATCACTAAATTAAAATACCGTCGTGTACAATTGATATTGGAAAAAAACTATAATCATTATATTTTTTTACTATTCAATTTTCTAATGAAACTCGGCCGAGTGCTCTTCTGTGTTCTGGATCCGCTGCTGCCAACTCTTCCAAAAGCATACCTTAACCTTGCTCTGTAAACAGCCATCCAACATCCAGTACCTTGGCATCTCGGCATCAGGGCCAGTCACAATAGGTTATCTTTCTCAAACGTGCTTTTTCCTGTTTATGAGTTAAAAATTGGTCACTTTCAATGAAGAACAGAAGTGGAGAAGAGAAAGGAATTTATGCATACCTAACCTGGGCTTTGCTTCACTGAAATCAGACTCTGCTCCCTCTTCCAGCTCCCCGGTGTTGCCGTCTCCTCCACCTGCCTCTTAGACTTCCGAACCCACTCGGAGACCATCTCAATCAACCCTACCAATTTCTTCACCATATTTGTTCTTCTTCTCTACCAAAAATGTCGAAAATCACAATTCATCTCATACCCAACGCGATTCAATAAGAGAGGGGAGATCGGAACTGGGATTAGCCCTCGTTGATCAAGATGGCGGAGGTGGAGAGCTTGGCGCTCGGCGGCATTCCACAACCAAGGTCCCTTGCTCCTTCAATGGCGTCAAAGGTCAAAGCGTCAACAAACAAAGTTTCCGCGCAGACCTCAGCTTCTCACCCCCGGCTTTGCATACCAATTTCCCTTCCGTAGCAAAATTTTCTTCTCTGCCGACTCTCACTCAAGCTTGACCAAAGATTTTGATTATCAATTCCAATCCAGAGAGATGATGGGAGAAACGTGTCAAAGCCAATTTCCATGATTTACCAATTAGGCAATTACCACCGCAGCGGCCGACCACGCGTTGAGGAAGAGTAGGCTGTTAGCCAAGGAAAGTCACCGGTAACATAAGTTAGCAAAACTCTTATGCTACAGTGACACTTGTATAACTTTAATTATATTAGGATTATTGGTAAAGAGTGGTTGAGAACTCTATTCGTTTTGAATTGACAATAGTCACTTTCTAAACATCTCTTTATATGATTAAAGTTTGGGACGAGTATGCTTGTATTGGCCTATAAGATTAAGCAATAGCAAATTTTAAAAGGCTAATACGATTTAGGTTTGCTTTTGGACTTACTGGCTTATAGACTTGCCATCATTTGGTTTTGAATGAGCAATTAACCAGTAATCTAATTTACAAGCTAGGCCCTTCCCAAATTCATTAGTATATAGGGGAATTTATGAACTTATTGTTAAGATGCTATGAGTTGCTCTACTTTAAACATGAATTGCAGGTATTTATTAACTTATCTAAATTATGTGCACTCATATTTTACATAGTATATTTCGTACTTTATGAATTTTTAGTTGTTTTACAGTATGCGTAAAAAACTTATGCGTTTACGCTTTGATTCTACGCTTTATGGTTTTACCCCTTTTCCACTTCTAGGTAGAATCACTCGTTTGACTGCATTGCACTCTCATATTTGATACATTTCCCCCTTCTATCAATGCATCTGTAGTACTTCTCTATCATAACTATTTGATCAATGTGCATTTAATAGACCTAGGTTGTGCCTTTGTATTCTTTTATGCCTTCTTCGTATGTTTGTGCTTTTAAAGGTAAAGTAAAACCTCGGAGGATTTGAATCAAGCATTGGATGATTTTGAAGGACCAAAGGAGCTTTAAAAAAAAAAGAATATGAAGTTCTCAAATTAAAGATTAGGTCCAATTACGGAGAAACCTACTATGAACCATGAGTAAAGCCCAAGAGGACCCCGATAGAGGAAGACTCGACCCAAATCGGAGCAAAAATCAGTGGGGGTCCATTGTTAGGTCCAACCATTCCCCAGGCAAACCATAGAGGCATAGGTATAGTATCATGCCCCAAACATGTGGCAATTCCAGCTGCCACCCAACCGCCACTCCAAGGCCCAAAACCTAATAACAATCCTTAGGCCATGCTTTGGCCCTAAGTCAAAGAGATCTTGTCCTAGTAGGGTTATGAAGGTTTTGGTCAAGTCCTACCTCCGTAAATAGGGAACTTATTAGTTTAGTATGCTGCAAAATTCAATTCAAAACTTCTCTATACACTCTGTTCGAGTGAGATGTTAGAAGGAAAATGCCTAGGCGCAAGTCATAAGAAAAACGTCTTGCCTTGGTCAAAAGCAGCGGACAAGGCGTAAAAATCACATTGCGGCCTCGGCAGTACCTAGTCAGTATTGGTACTAGGTTATAGAGAAATCAAGACCTTCCTCCCTTTTCCTCCTTCCCCTCCCGAGTGTTCCTAGCCGCTAGGCTAGAGTTAGAGACTACCATCGTTAGAGTAGCTTCTTTGTTTTTTGCGCTTCTTCTTTCAATCTGCTTCACTATTTTCCAGGTTTTTCTTCCTTTCTCATTTCGCCACACTATGTTTTATACTTTACCATATGTTGTTGATGAAGGTTTAGAAATAATAGGTAGATGCGATAATATTGGTTCACTAAGGTGTTGCTTTGGAAGGAATCCTATGCAGTTTGTATATCACTTCTTTCTATGTTGGAAAAACCTTATGGACAGACTTATAAATAGACCACGTCGACCATCATTTAAAGACAAGTATTTTCTAGGGGGTTACACTACCTCCGGAGCAACTCACCAGAACCAGGATAGAGTAGATGCTCGAGGGAAGACTAATGGCCATAATGGCGTGATAGGTGCCATTTTATCCATTCAACCGCCATTTCACAGTAGCTAGGTAGCCTCATTTTTTTCATTGATGTACTTCCTTTGTACCACCAATTACCACTTATTACCATCATGATACCATCTATACCATTGTGTACTTCCTTTATGGACCATACATACTACCCTGATATAAGGTGGTAACTAATGGTAGACAATAGTGAAAAGTAGTAAATGATGATTAATATATTTCTAGTATCATGTATACAATCATTCTACACTATGATATATTCATACCATCTTGATATAATTTTATCTTCTACCAAACATGGTGTAGACTGATACTACAGACCTCTTTTTTTTATTCCAAGTACATCAAAGTGAATATAATTTTGAAAAACATGATTAGTCTAATTTTTATGTGCAAAATAAGTCAAAATTTGACTCAAAACCAAAGAGATTGATATAGCAGGTTAAATTTTTGTTAAGAAAATGTTATGAAAGATCACTAATAAACTTGATTACTGATGGGATCCGTTTCCGATAAACCTACTATGTATCAAATCAAATTAGCTATATTAGTTGATATATTTGTCTTTCTAATACGTTACTGATATTATGAGGAATTTTACAATGTTTTAAAGCATTGATGCTTTAATTTTTGCCTTTATGGTACAATTTGAAGTTGTATCTTTAACGTTATGGTACAACTTTATGTTGTACCTATACTCTTTTGCAAAATTCCTTTATTGTACAAATTAAGGTTGTAGCACAACATAAAAATCAAATTCTCTTATAGTGCAACTTTACTTTACACTTTGGAGTTGGAAGATGAGGAGATTGTTGCCCCTCGGGATTTTGGGGCCCAGAAGCAGAATATGGAGTCGGACGAAGATCAATCGAATGACGATCAATGCCCATTTGAGATTAAGAGAAGATCACCAGGTGGGGTCTCCATGGAGACTCGCAAAGGCTTGGTTGGGCGAGTCCACCAAGTGGTTGAGGCTTTTGAAGCTGGGTTGGTCTTTGCTACAGAGGAGGATATACCTCGCTCTGGGCCTCGCTCGACTCTCAATGAATATGGGTCTAATTTTATGGACCCTTCTGTGGAGACCCGGAAGCGTGTGCTCGATGAGTTGGATGGGGAGGTGGGTGATCCTCCTACCCAAACCGGATCTCGTGTTTTTTTCGGAAACGCAATCGAGCCGGCGTGTAGTGTCCCGTCGTATGCGGGGTTTAGGCTTTCCTTTGTCGCATTGTTTTTTTGTTGATGCAGTCGATGCATCGGGGGGATTAGTAGTTTCTTGGGCCCCCGGGGTTGACACTTTGGTGTTTTGTCATTCTAATTTCTATATTTGTTCGCAAATTAATGAAGGAGATTTTTCTTATGTTGTGTTCTTTGTGTATATTAGTTGTGGTTGTTCGAGCTGCCCAGTTGGCTCATTTGCGTAACGTTTGTGCGAATATCAATCTCCCTTATGTGCTCATAGGCGATTTCAATACTACTCTGCAGGAGAGTGAAAAGGATGGGGGCGGGAGTGGAATGCGGCCCAAGCCTTTAGTCTCCGTGAATTTGTTCAGGATTTGGGTCTCCACGATCCTGGTTACCAAGGAGATCAGTTTACTTGGACTAATAAGCGTATGGGTGATGCATGCATTCGTGCACGTCTGGATAGAGCGATTTGCTCTCAGTCCTGGATGGATACTTACCCGGAGACTCTAGTCAAACACTTCACGGACCAGGGTTCAAACCATCGTGCCCTTCTCCTTGCGGATAAACCATATGTTCGTACTAGTAGGCCTCTGTTCCGTTTTGATGCCCGTTGGGCGGATAATCCGGAGGTGAGAGCCATGGTCAACTATGTATGGCAGGAGGAAATCCAAGGCACCCCTATGTTTCGACTGTGGGAACGCCTAAAGAAACTCCGTCACCTGTTGTATGATTGGAGTAGGGCGGGCACTACTAACTCCCTGCGCAATATTAAGACGCTCCAAGCCGAGATTGATAGGATAAAATCAATCCATCCGGTGGATTGGGATGAGATCAGGACCCTGGAATCAGAGCTCTCCCGTCAATGGGAAGCGGAGGAGGTATTCTGGCAGCAAAAATCCAGAGTTAAATGGTTGAAAAAAGAAGATCAAAATTCTGCTTACTTACATACGGTCACAAGGGCTCGGCGGAAGAGGAAATTTGTTTCTGGGCTTCGAAATGAGGAGGGTGAATGGGTCACTGCGGAAACTGGAAAGGCTTCTATTGACACCAATTTTTACCAGACCTTGTTTACCTCGGAAACACAGGTCCCGAATATGGCTGAAAGGGTGGTGAATCTGCCGATTGCCCGGAGTGTTACTCCGCAAATGAATGCACAATTGACGGCGGAGGTTTTGCCCAGTGAGATCCGGAGGACGGTCTTTTCCATGGGCTCGACACAGGCCCCGGGTTCGGATGGTTTCACAGGGAAGTTTTTTAAAGCCTTCTGGGATATTGTGGGCACTTCGGTGGTTGAAGCAGTAATCTCCTTCTTTACTTCAAGTCGGATGCTACGGAGTTTTAACCATACCTGGCTCACCTTGATCCCTAAAGTGGACTCGGTGGAAACTATTAGACAACTGCGTCCGATTAGTCTATGCCAGTTTGTTTACAAAGTGATTACCAAAATCATGGCGGAACGGCTGGCTAGCATGCTCCCTCAGATCGTTTCGAAAGGCCAAAATGGATTTATCAGAGACAGGCAGATTATTGATAACATCCTTATAGGACATGAGCTAATGCATTATCTGAAAATAAAAAAGCAAGGGAAGAAGGGGTACATGGCTCTGAAGGTTGAGATGGAAAAGGCCTATGATAGAGTCGAATGGCCCTTTCTGCTTGCAGTTTTGGATAAGATGGGTTTTAATTTAGTCTGGCAAGGATGGATTCGTGAATGTCTTCGATCCTCATCCTTCTCGGTTCTTATGAATGGTACTCCCTCGGGATATTTCACGGCCTCTAGGGGCCTTCGCCAGGGGGATCCGCTCTCTCCTCTCTTGTTTGTACTTTGCACGGAGGGGTTTGCAGCCCTCCTCCGAAAGGCGATCACGGAGAAAAAATTGGAGGGGGTGAAAGTAGCTCCTCGTGCTCCAAGAATC